ACACCCATATAAAGGACTGTCATTTCCAAAGGTCAGGAGTGAGCCCTGCACGCAAGTGTTGTCCCGACACTTAGTCTGGAGGAAAGAAAAAAGAAAAAAAACTGCTTGCCCGTACTCTTTGTCTGTCTGTCTGCAGTGGGCATGACTACTGAGGCCAGTGTCTTGGGTGTCCTTTCTGTTTGTTTTTTTTCCCTCCTCCTCCTCTCTTCTATCCTGTCCCTTCTGTTGTACCGGAAGTCAGTATGTGCAGCTTATGTGTTTGCAGCCAAGGGGGAGGCTGCAGTTACTTCTTGGTATGTCTGTGTGTTCTGGAATACCAAAGGCTAAATGTGATACAGCAGTTTTTAAGCGGGCATTATTATACTCATTAGCACCATGACTGTGATGAGTGCAAATAGTTCCGACTTACTCACTGATGAGTAATCTACCTTTCAACATGGTGTTTTACATGCTTAATGGGCAGGACAGGGGCTAAAAAGGGCACTTATGCATCAGCTTGACAGATTTTCTTCATGTATAATTTGCTGCTTTTTCAGACACTTTTTTTTTTTTTGCAAAATGTATAATGTGGTGAGGGCAGTTGACTCAGTCATCTGGCACTTACTCCCTATAAATCAATCTTATTTCTTATTTTATCACCTTATTTCCAAAGGTTTACAGAATTTTCGTTCTTTTGTCTCCCCAAACTGTTTTTATTATTATTATTATTATTATTTTTTTTCAAAAACACTAAACGCTGGATAAACATTTACAGTTACTCAGTTGCTGAAGTTGAAGTTTCATCTCTTACTGTATTTCTGCAGAATAATATTGTATCTGAACTTTTCTGGAAAAACATTTGTCAGTTTTAGTTAAGTTTGGGTAATGTTAGCCAACCATCCTGATAAAAAATATTAAGACTTAAAGATCGTAAGGATCCAGAAAGATTGGTAACCATTACTGGGTAGTATTTATTAGAGGTGGGAATCACCATACATCCCACAATACGATATTATCACAATATTTAACGCACGATACGATATTATTGCAATTTTTTTAAAAAATATTTTGCGATATTCAGATTCTGTACATAAAGGTAAACTTTATCAATATTCATTTTATCTAATATCAAAGTCTCGCACTCAGTCTTTCTCTCATTTCAGTCAGTTTTATTGTTGACAAACTGAACGGTTTGTATTACAGTCTAGTCCAACTTAACTGAATGCAACCATCTGGTACAATTATAGCTATTCTGAACTATGCAATTGATGAAAACTATGCAGCCCATTCAGCAACTGAAGAATTTGAAAGTAAATTAAAACAAAATATAATTTTACATTAAATAAAAAAGTTTTAAACTTAATTAAAATAAAACATGTCTTAAATTAAAATAAAACATGTCTTAAATTAAAATAAGTAAACTGTCATGTTTATTACTGCCCAAAAAAAAGTTAAACACATTTGGACAGTGAAGGAATGTCAGGATTCTTGCTCAGAAAAAGGAGCTGATCAACATGCTCTGAAGCCAGAGTTTTGTTACAAAAACTTTTTTTGTAACAAAATATCGATTTCTGCTGTCCCTGTATCGATAATTATTAGCAAACAAAATATCACGATACTACACAGTATCGATTTTTTTTCCCCCCCACCCCTAGTATTTATGTAGCTGTCATGAGTATTTCTGTAGCAGAATTAGTTGACGCTGCACACCTGTTGAGATGTTTTAGCAATATGCAGAAACCGTACTTGTTATGTTACCGTTTCCAAAGATCCGGTTGAACAGAATAGGTATGAAATCAGCGTTTCCAAGCTGGCATATTTGATTTCTATGTTCTCTGTGTCTCCTTTGACAACACAAAAGTTTAATTTAATAACTTCAACAAGATCAAAGCTTGTCCATACAAACTGAAAGCTTGTTGGGAGCCTCAATTTGGAACATGCTGTCGTGCCACTGCCTATTTTCCGGTCCTGTGGTGTCTCGACAGTAGCAAGAGAGTACGAGAGTGAAACGTGAACTAGTCTTCTGTGGGTATAGCGGCTTCCCTCTATCCCACATTTATTACCTCTAAAAATACAAAGTCATTTTCTAAAAAGAGCCTGGCTCTTTTTCCATCCAACCACGTCAGGTGAATTTACACCATGATAGTTTATATGTCACTGACAAAAATGTTTTCATTTATTAGTTGTTTTTCCTTTTTTTTCCTTTTAAGTCTATCTGAATCCTTTAGTCAGTGGGACCCTTTGCCTTGATCTTTTTCAGTCCCTAAATCCATGTATATATCATGTGTTAACCATATGCAAATGAACAAACTTGAGGTCAGGAGGGTCTGTGGAGACATTGTTGGAGTTCTCGCTATACCATGTGGTGTGGCTTTGAGCATTATGTGAAGTAAAACATTGGGAGGAAAAAGAACTGCAGCAGTTTTCATACATCATTGTCCTTTTAAACTCTTGATATGGGAACCCCCCCATTATTTAGATGAGGCTAAATGCTAATAAGCTCAGTGTCTACTTGAGCTATGCTCTGCTGCCAGGAGGCCTAATTGTGTCACCCATTAAAAGTCTTGGCATCTTTTTAAAATTGGAGGCCTGGGGAGCGTGGTGTTTCTTTTTCCGTTTTTTCCTGTCATGCATCTTTCTCTTGAGGAGAAAATGCAGCCTGGCTACATCTTCTGTGATATGATTCTCATTTACATAAAGCCTAGCTAATCAACTTTCACAACAACAGTGAGGTAATGTCTAGGCAGGTCTTTCAGGAAAGCACAACTAGAACATGTCCAATTCTATAAGAGGCAACTAATCAATAGAGTCTATATAAAATGCTTGTCATTCCCAGAGTCTTTTGGCAGGATTGACAAGTGGCCTCATAGGTTTTATTTTTCATGAGTTTCCGTAGATGTTTTCCTATATCAAAGTACAGGTTACTGTATGGGTCAAATACAACTAAAAACTCAATTTCAGCTGTGTGTATAAATAGCTTGGAGATTTATGGAAATACTCATCATTGGACAATCTCTGTGATTGTGCTCTTGGTCTCAGTGACACATTGAGTATGTGGTTGACGGGGAGGGGCATGTCTCGAAGTAGGCAAAGGCCTACCGATATATTTATTTTTCTCCTGTGAGCCTTTTGAGCAAGCTCTCCTCGTCAATCTTGACCTGTCAAAGAGGGCCAGAGGTGGGAGCTGCCATCTCTCTCTCACAGGGGCCACTGTGTACATGGGGACCCCAGGGTCAGGGCCTGGATGCTCCTTTAGTAACTGTTGTGAAATCACAACTCTCTGGTGGGAGTAGTCCTCTCATTCTGCTCCCGCAATGGGGCAGCACCCTGATTCAATGCCTTTTTAAAAACAATGTTTACTCCTGGTTTAGCAATTATTTCATAGGGCTCGGAACACTCAAGTTATTCAACTCAATATCTATTTGTACCTGGTTGAGTTCTTCCATCTTCACTTACCTCAACCCTTCTTTTTAAACATCAGCTGTCAGTCCTCTTGGCTGACAGCTGGGGTAGTTTTCACCTTGTACAGAAACCTGTACATGTGGCTTCAGAGAAGAGAAGAAAATAACCCAATCAAACCAAGTTTGTACATGTGCTCTTCCATCTGACACGCGTGTGTTTCTGATCTTACAGTTTTTCTGGAAAAGGAGAATGTTTCCTGTTTGAGCAGACTGGTGGGTTCACCAAGGAGTCGGGGGGGCTCGGGTTGCTCAGCCGACGTCTGGTTCTGCTGAAGCAGATTCCCCACATCTCCATCAAACGGCAGTCCTGTTTTGGCATGACTCTGAAAACTGACCCCGGTAGTCATTGATGTCTTGGGCTCTGTAGATGAACTCAGGCTGAAGCACTTTGTTTTGTTCTCCTCCAATTTAAAAGTGGCAATGGATGCATCTTGTAAAATTGCTCTTTTATTGGATGTTCATTTGATTCTTTTAACTTGAGATAAAAAGTATTTTACAACGACTTAAAGCCGAAGTATACAAACATACAGACCTACTTGAAAACTGATGATGAATATTTGTTTATCCTCTCATTAGTTTAACTGCTTCTGCCCACCGAGGTATTCTTTTTCTGATGGCACACCTGGACAGCGTGCACACAGATGTGCAGCAGTTCATGTAGACTTGCGCATGTTTTTACTTCTTGTTAAAGTCTCTGAGCGCAGCAACAGTGTGTTGAGGAGGGTCGTCCTTTGACATGAGCAGTAGGAAATCTTGTGTTGATGTTCTTGTACTTGAAATGTGATATCGTAGATGGGTAGAAGACTGTGTGTGTGTGTGTGTGTGTGTGTGTGCGCGCGCGCGTGCGTGTGTGCGTGTGTGTGTGTGCGTGCGTGCGTCTGTCCTGCCATGTCCAGACTGGTTCCTGTCTTGCTAATAAAAGAGATCTCTTTTTAGTTTTGGATACTGATCTCCCCACACAAGTTTAAAGTTCTCATTCACGGTTCACACTGCATTTGCCCCTTAATGTCTCACAGCAGGCCCTCAGTCCCAGGCCGTGATTCATGGAGTGACAGGTCTGCCTCTGGCTGCCATAAGGGCCCAATCAGACAAGGTTTACATGCAGACAAAAACGTGTTGGACCAGCACTTGGATGCATGCATCAAACCCCCTGATTGAATATAGTTTGTCAATGACATTTTCTCTATGTGGCATGATTAAATTAGATCGTACATGTAGAAATCATGGTAGTATCATTCTTTGTCATGGTGCATTCTTTTTCTTTTTATTAAGCTTTCTGCTCAATCATTTGTATACTTTTTGCTCCTTGTACATCAGCTGCACGTGTATCCTATACGCAGCCTGTTTTTTCACGAGGTGTGAATTTTTGTTTTGCCGTATGAAGACAGAAATGCCTGTGAGAGTTGTCATGCAGAGTTATGGAGGCAAGAATTTATCCTAAGAATTGTTTTGATTGCAAATGCAGAATTATAGCGGTCCTCCCTCCAATTCCCTATTCCCCCCCCCCGTCGCGTAGAATTGTCTTCCAATGCATTCATTGCTTTGTATGCTTTGTTTTAGTGTTTTCGGGCACTGTGCTGTAAAGGACCCCCACCGCCGAGACCAGAGTATGATGTGGTGTGCATTGGCCTGACAGGTGCTGGAAAGACCAGCTTGCTCTCACGCCTCTGTAGTGAGAGCACCGATGGCATAGTTCCTACAACAGGTATGTGGTTATAAGACATGGATCAGTGGAAAAGAAGGCATAAAAAATTAGGTACAACAGCAGAGGGTGCATGCTTATCTCCCTTCGCTCACATGTGTTCTTGCAATCTTTCTCCTTTTTAGTCCTTTGTGATTCGAATCTGAAGGACATCATGTTCTTGAAACAGATAGATAGTACTATCCAGGTATTAGTTTTCCAATAGAGGAAGGACTTTTTCCAGTCCCAGTGTTTGTGCCAGAATAGATGTCAGGATGTCACCTGCCAATACTTGTTTTTTTTTTCTTCTTCAATCAAGTGGCAGGCTGGTGTTATGTCCAGAATAGAAGGAGTTTTCAGGGTTTGCACATCATTCTTGTGGTAGTCAGCACTCTGCTTTCCATATATGCAATCCCTCAAGAACCCTGACATTCCTGTCTCCTTCGCGGGCTTTGACAGCAGCAGTGTTGAGCTGTTGCAGAAGTCCCACTTTAGATTTACTCTTTTTCCAGGAGAAGCTAAATATAACGTAATTCCCAAATGTGCTGCCTGTAACAGTTAGTTTGCATTTTTCTGTGTCAGGGGGTGTGTTAGGTGAGTGAATAGCTCTCTGCGCCTGCTGATGAGTAAGCCTTAATAGATAAATTAGAAAATTAGTGTTCATCTCTGAAAGCAGATTTAGCTGTCAGCACTGTCCATCTGCCAAATGTACAGAGGGAAGAACAGGAAGGCCAATAAAGGGGGAACTCTCCTGCTAATATTCTTACTTCCTGCTTTATAATTGTGCACTGTTGTAATGTACATAGTGATTAATTTAGATGCTTGTAAAATCATAATCTGCTTTCAAATCTCTCCCCTAAATTTGTAAATGTTGTCAGGAAATGAATTCCCACCAAGACAAGTTAGCATAGTTTGAGCAACATTAAATTTGCCCTTTAGTGGGTTTCTCCACTATTTCCCGTACGCAGCCGCATAAACAAACCACATAATACACGATAGTACTTAGTTGTATCCTCCGCTAACCCCAACATAGAACAAAACACTTTTCTGTTTAGCTCTTCTTGTTTTTCTGTTTTTCTAAAACTGGACCACACAAAGTGTTTTTCTTTCATGTTTATAACACAAATATGTTGTCAGTCCTGTGTGTGTTCACCAGCTGGTTTGGAAAAGGTACACCAAATATCCCGGGGAAACCTAATGATAAAATTGATTTCTTTTTCTTTCCTTTTTTTCTTTCTTTCTTTAAAGAAAAAAAAAAATCCACTTTCTCACTATTGAAAAGTAAATGGAGCCAGCATTCCTAAAAGCTGACTCTCATCACTCCTAGCATGTGCTGGACACACACACACTGACACGGAGGGAAGTGCAATTTTTTTTAGGTGATTACAATGATGGATTTTCATTGTTTTCTTTCCTCTCAGGTTTCAGCATCAAAGCAGTACCGTTTCCAAATGCCATCTTGAATGTAAAAGAACTTGGAGGTAAGAAGTAAATGCAGGAATTCAAGTTTGTAACGTCTGTATTAGATGAAACGGAGTGACCCAGCAATGAAATGCTGTGGGCCATCGTAGACATTAACAGGTTAACTGGCCCCTGTAACAGTAACTGCATCATGTGATTATTGGGATTTTCTGTTTTCTTTGTATTACTGTAGGGTCTTTACCTTACAATATAAAGTAGGCAACGGTTATTGTGCCATAATGAATGTTTTCTTTTTTGAAATCCGTACTTTATGATCTGTTTACCCACCAAACTATGACCAGCTTCTTTTTCCAATGACATCATTGGAATATTTTGTACAAAAGTCCATATGTGACCTGTTAGATATATACTTTAATGGTTTCTCTGTCTTTAATCTGTATTCACCCCATCTCTTCAATTGAAATTTACACAAGCGGGCACAAACATCAAGAATGGGGAAAAATGTTTCTTTTTGTGTCCTGTAGCATGACATCTTTCAGACACAGGCGTGTGTGTGTATAGACGTCAGATGTGTTAGTGTTTGTGTTTTTTGGTGTGTTTTAAATTTCCAATGCTGAACAACGTGCACCGTATTATTCCTGGAAATGTACAACGCTCGAGGAAGCTATTAAGTTGAGATGAGGAAACCTGAGGTGGAGGATGGGATAAATAAACAGAGCTAATGCAATCGAAGTCCTTAAAGAGAGCCTTGAGAAATAAAAGGAATAGATTGTTTTGTAATTTCAGTTTCCTGTGCATGACAGGTGCAGTGCATATTTTCAAGGATCACCCAACTTAGGCGTCTGAAAAGATGAAGCACACACACTCACACAAATGCAAAAAGAGGCACGGGGGGGGGAACAACAAACAAGGAACCAACAAAATTGGAAAAAAACCAATAAGGGGTTTGGTTTTTGGTTTTTTTCCCCCCCAAAAGAGGTTTTTCTGGATTGGGTCAAAGCCAGTCTGGTGGTAACAGTGGTAACATGATTGTGGTTGGAAAAACACTGGTCCCACGGATGACACACTTGATTTAGAGACGTTAGTATAGGCTGCCACCACAGAAAAGCGTGATGAAATCTGTTCTCTCTTTCTCTTAGCCCTCCTGCCTGAACACTTACTCCCCTGCTCCTTTCCTTGTAAATACACAGAGCACAGGCAGTTGAGTGATTTATGTTGCCATCCGATATGGATGTATTGGAGACGGTGAAAACAAGCACATGTTTTGATGCCTCTACTAACTACCTTTTTTTTTTTTTTTTTTTTTTTTTTTTTTTTTTGAGGATATTGGATATTGTGTGTGAGAAAAGGTGTTGATTTGAAGCCATTGTTTTCCCTGCACAGGCATCCACCTTTTCTTCCAGTTGTATATGACGCAAATATATAATTGGAAGAGTTTGTGTTCTTGCATAATTTTCCACTGGTCAGTTTTCATGCAGAGACCCTCAGAGTGTCTTCTGATTATGGCAGGCTTGTTCTGCACAGTTTGAAACTTACTCAACACTTCCCACTTCTGTCAGTATTCTTTTATTCCTCCCCTTTCCCTATGGCTTTAAAACAAGCAAACATGTCTGCTTTAGTTTTATGTTATTTTGCACTGCATCAATGATGCAGAAAAATGATACAAGATGTGACACACAGACATCAGTGTTCCTGACCCCGAAACCCTTGTTTTACACAATGCCTCTGTGGCTTGTTCTCTTTACTCAGCCCTGACTAAGGCAAGAGAAGACGCTCTTGTTGAGAAGTGTCAGGATGTGAAGCACTTCCCGTGTATTTCCTTCCCATGCCACCGGAAAGCCTATTGAAGATCAGTGAGGTACTGACGCTTAACAGTCAGAAAGGTAAAGCTAGTTTTGCGTATTTAGGTGACGTATGTGCCCTAGGTCAGATGACCTGTTTGTCAGTATTTGTTTGTTTGAGTAGAGCACACAAACCATTTAAAAGACACAAAGTCACATAAAACTTCCTCACAAAAGCTCAAGCATTTTATTTTTTTATGTGCTGTTCTTCATTTCCTTGGTTTTGTAAGTCTCATTATTGCTCAACCTTTTACATCTGGGAGACAAAGGTAGTTTCAGCTGAACTGGAAGCGGGCATATGGGAGTATGTTAAGGTCAACATTTCTGGCACACAGCAAAATCTTTCATAAGTTGAACTCGTGAACATATGAGGAGAATACAAACTTGACATTATCAGAAATTGTCCTTTGTCACGTGTAGCAAGCAGCAGGAGATGTTTTGCATCAGTTTTGTTTTTCTTTATTTCTATAGTGCCAAATCACAACAACGTTCACCTCGTGGTCCTTTTATATTGAAAGGTAAAGACCCTACAATTACACAAAAAACCCCAACAATCAGGTTAAAGATATTCCATGCAGCTGATTCTGACATTTGCACGCACAATCACCTTCATTGGGTAATTTCTAGGAAAATTTCTAGATCTGGCATAAATTCGAGCAAAAGGAAACCAACCAGCAACAAGTCAGTTTGTGAAAGCTTTTCCTACATAGATATTCAACAATTAACTATAAGTGTTACTGCAAGATAAAAGCGCTTATGAACCAAATAACTCCGACCATGTAAAGTTAGAGTGCAGTCTCACTGAGTGCTGAGGTGCATTGTGTGAAAAAGTCACCAAGACTCTGCTGAGACCCAGTAACTGCTGAGTTAAAACCTTCTCTGCCATTCACATCAGCACAAAAGCTGTGTACTGGGAACTTCATGACATGGGTTTCTATCGCCAAACAGGTCCTCTAGGAGCATATGTATAGGTGACCCTGTAATTTTGATCATATGGTGTTGTACTTGGAGTTTGCTATAAAAATATAAAAGGACTGGAATGGTTGTGCATTGGTCATGCACAACTAGATCCACCTACATGGTGGATCTGTGTATTGTCACCAGGGGATAGTATCAAAATATGCAGAAAACAAATGAGCTACGCTTATTTGTTTGGGCTGTTGTTTGTGCTTTAGCTTAGCCTCCACTACAGAGAAGGCAGAGGTCATAATGTACGTGTGTTGTTTTGCGTGGTGAACTCTGCTCTTGCGTTCCACCTATGCAAGCTATCTGTGCCTTCAGGCAGCACAGTGTTGTCTTTATTTTTTCTTTGTTTATGGAGTACTGCACATAAGCATGTTGTTATATTGAGCCATACTAAGCCAGTAAATCCGTACTTAAAGCATAATTAGCTTGTATTTTACTTGACACCCGAATAAACTTTTTTTTCCCAAGGCTTCTGTGCTTCTGCATATTGGCGAACTTAACTATAGCATTAAACTATAGCATGTGAACTGCATGTGACCTACAGTTCAGTGCTGTGTCTGAACTCTTTCTACACGTAGCATGGGGCTCTGGAGCCGATCTATCCTGGCAATGTGCTGCTCACGCTGTAGATTCTGTGTAGATGCCGCATAAGTCTGGTTATGCATTTTTAAATTGCCGTGCTTTGAGTGCACTGGACCAGATTATCATATCTACAAAATGTCCTATAGACTAAAGACACAAATCAACCTTTGGGAAGGCATGCCCTGATGGATGTTACCAGGCGGGGCGATATGTTTGTCTGAGTCATGCATTTGTTACTGACTTATTTTAATTTGTTCTCCTTTTCATCCTTAACTCTGATTTTTGTCTTTTCCTTCTGCCTACCATACCTTCTGATCTTTAAAATTGTGTCTGTGTTGTGCTGTTAGATGTTTTCAAGAAAAAAAGACCAAAAAACTCCCCAAAACAATGCCTCACTTTGTTTTACTCCTGTCAAGCTTCCCTTATTGATTTAGACACATTGTCTGGCCTTGATAAAACACCCTGCTCGTATCAGACAAGGCTTGTCTGTCGTGCCAGTCAGTGTATTTAGCTTGTAAATAACTTCGTAATTTCCACTTCTCTGCAGGATTGACAAAACTTTGCTGAGAGAAGAGTATGACAGGATGAAAGGACAAAATAAACACATCCAAGCCTGATTTAACTCTAACCTGGAGAAGATGAATCTGAATAATTTGGATTCCACCTCCGAACAAGTTATTTGTAAATTAAGATAAATGTGCATGGAAAAAGAGCAAAAGTGTGATCTCACTGCAGAGTCTGTCTGCTCTCAGAGGCGACAAAATCCAAATAATCTTCTGCTCTGTCTTAGCTTTTTATTTAAATAGTGACACAGTCAATCAGTGTCATCAGTATGCCATGCTGTATTACCCTCTCAGGACTAATTAGAAATTATAATCAGGCGTTAAATAAATAAATACCCAGAGAGAACTGTGCCTTTTTAATTCTAGGATGGAAGCATGAAGAGATTGATACTGTTCATTTATTCAGTGGACAACAACACTGCAGCAAAACTGCATCATTTTTTTGTACTTATCTTCAGTCTGACACACATTAGCTACTGTGCCAGGTATGAGGATTAGGTGGGAAGGGCACCTCCAGTGTGTGTGTGTGTGTGTGTGTGTGTGTGTGTGTGTGTGTGTGTGTGTGTGTGTGTGTGTGTGTGCGTGTGTGTACAGTGATGTGACGTCAAGTCTAGACGGGCCATTTCACAGTGTGCATTCATGTCACGCAGGGACAGCTGATGAAGTGACCCTA